CGTACTGAATGGTTCAATACGAATATATGTGTATGCTTAATATCTATCACACTTTCCACAATAATGTACAAGAAAATGCAATCCCGGTTTCATCACTTACTGAGCAAATTTGTAAGAAAAAATCCCCCAAAAAACTGTTAGAACGCTCATCAACCGTAAACGGACATTAGCTGGATGGAATGTATTATTTTCATTCAACAGCAAAAGTCTGTGGAAAGTAGGGCAGTGCTTTAATCTGCTTCATTGCCTTGAAGCTGAAGAGCTTGTTGTTTTAGTCTTTCTCCAGTAATGTTTTTTTCCTAGAGTTTATCTCTAGGGTTTAAGGTATCCAACATTAACACCTCGAGCAAATATGTTTTTTGGCTGGAGCTTTTCCAACCTTAAGCTCTTGCCAGATCTATGAGTGTTTACTTCACCCGTTTTCATGATGTTGGCATACGAGTTTGAGATTTTGGGTTATTACAATGGTAACTGTGATGTTTAATAGGCATTCTAAAGGTGCGGTCAAATTTACCTTTAAACTGTTCTTACAGGTTTACACGCACACCTATAATGCTAACTCATAAACATCAGTTTCACGAAAATAACTTGTTGTCCCGGTTTACATGGTAAGCAATATCTGCCAATCCAAACTTACATTTTATTTTTTTAATGTTTGTTGTCATGTTATTGTAGAAGAGTATGACAAGAGTTAGTCTGGACACTTGCTCATTTTATCTCCATTATTGTTTTTTTTTTTTGTATTTTCTTTTTAAATAATTGTTGGAGGGCAAAATAAAAATCGAAATGTAATTGTGATAGGGCACAGCCCTACTTTTAAATCAATGTAAGGGGCAAAAATCTAATGATCGCTTTGTGCTTAAGCTTTCTAACTTTATTTCTCTATAAAAAAAATAATAATCATAAAAAATGGCACCTTCACATGAATTTATGTATTGTTAGAATATTAATGTACATGCAAACTCACTCATTCATGAAAGAATTTATGCAATGTGCAGTTACAAATGAGGGCAGTACACAATAATGATAAATTGATTGTCGGTAGCTGTTTCTCTCCAAAAATGCTAATTAAATTTATGCGCAAAAAACTAGAATATCGCATAAAAGACGTGCAAATTAAGAAGCGATTCCATTCAATGAGTCAAAGAGAATAAAATTCCCGATTAACTGGTGCCAAATATCAGCAGTAAAAACGGAATTTGCTGTGGCTGGAGAAGCAGTGTGAATCTTTTCTTTATTTAATACATGATTTGCGCCTTAGAAGACAATGCTGACAGGTAATGATCGTGTGGTGGTGTTTGAAGGTGTCTGACATTTCCATCATCCGTTTTTTATACGCATTCTCAAAATTGATGCGAATTTTGTCGTTTCCATCAACTGTTTTTTATGCACATTTTTAAAATTAATGCGCATCTTGGCGTTTCCATCCGTTTTTATTTGCATTTTCAAAATTGATCCAAATTTTGTCCTTTCCATCAACCGTTTTTTAAGAACATTTTTAAAATTGATGCGCATCTTGGCATTTCCATCAACCGTTTTTTATGCTCATTTTCAAAATTGATGTGCATCTTGGCGTTTCCATCATCTTTTTTATATGCATTTTTAAAATTGATGTGATTATTAATATTATTTTTTTATTTATTTATTTATTTATTTTTGGTAGCGCACCAATTTTGCGCAATCAGGAATGTTTTTTTTATACTCATTTTAAAAATTAATGCGCATCTTGGCATTTCCATCAACCATTTTGTTATGCACATTTTCAAAATTAATGCGCATCTTGCCGTTTCCATCAACCACTTTATGCGTATATCCAAAATCTGCATAAAAGTAGGTGGATGGAAACAGCTACTCTTTCAAGCAATTATTTCAAAATACGAAATACATATGTCATTGGCTGATTTGTTCATTCATTTAGAAAATGAGCTCTGCAGTTTCGCTCTGAGAAGCACTCATTTTCCTCCAACTTTGTTTAAAACAATCATTTACTTGGTGAAAAAAAATGAATCTGAAAAACCCATACAGAGCTTCTGCAGGGAAAGTGCTTATTTCAGTTTGCCCTAGGCATGAGTCTTGCTTTATATTAAGGGTTAAAAAATAACAAAAAAATAAGATCTCGTTAGCATCATAGTCTGTAATAGATACGGATGTAGTATTCGTGACATCACCCATAGGTTTTTAAAGAATGCAAAAGAAACTACAAGTAGGCGTGGTCAACCTTCTGCATTTTGTTTGCGCGTCATTGCACCAACCATGGGATATCAAACAAGGGCAAAGAGGCAGAGCAAAAGTGGAGCTACAGATGTCTGCTATCATTTTGCTTAGACAGGCTTTCCTTTGGGAGGAACGCTTCATACTTCATTACCTGCGACTCGTTTGTGTTCTGACCACATGTGCTTGGTTGCACACTATATCAATAAAGTTTTCAGACTTTTAAAAACACAGTTGTAGTTCATTGAGCTACTAAACATTGTTCTTATGACTTTTTTTTATTTTTATTTTTTTTACAGGAGTAAAACTTAAATAACTCCCAAAATGCTATAAATATAGTCTGTGTTAGTAAATGGCTATTTATAAAATCCAGGCGTAACAGTGTATGACAACATTTCAGATGACTGTTCTAGAGCCTACAGCTAATCAATCTGGCAGATTCTGGACAGATTGTACAGATTGTACATTTATAGAGAGGGTATAAGTATATAATTTCACTCACCTGGGAAATGGAGACCACGTGAATGGTTTGTGAGCACAATTAAGTGTGCATAGCATGCCATATTTTCTGATTATTAAGAAATAATTCCAAAAAGCAAGTGACTGTGTAAAGCCACATAAAACAAAACAAAAATACGATGTGTATGCCGAGTTCAGCAGCTAATCAGCTGGAATCAGCTGAGGTGAAGTGACGATGACCAGCGAGACCAAGCTGTCACTCAAGTGTCCACGTCCTTAATTATGTAGACTTACTGTAACTTGATATAAATGAAACATACGAGTTATAAAATAAATTCACCCCCCTCACAGTTGTCATGAAGGGTAATTTTAGCTATATGAACCAAAATTGTTGTTTGTACCAGGCTGTAACCACCTTTTTTTCTACTGTAAAGTTGGCCATTTTACAGGGGGGTCAATAGAAATTTGCTCTATTATGGAGCCAGGACTAGCGGAATTTCGCTGAATTGCAGTTTCAGTTACTTCTGTGTTTGCTTGATGAGGGAGAGCGGGAGGTTGCCGCGTGGTTAGCATGTGTGGTTTTTTTTAGTAGTTATCCTGTCCGATGCACTGACACACACATGCTGCTGACAGTTTAATGTGTTTGAGATGTGCTGTTTTCCTCAGTGTGTAACTTGCATTCACTTACATACACTGGTATACTCTCAATCTATAAATGTTAAAAAAGTGAATTTTACAAATGCTTCCATTTTGCTTCGCATAAGTCTTCTACGTTTGGTAGAGCTACATTTTTAAAATCTCTGAATTGATGCAGAATCAGTTTTTCAGGCAATTTTTTGCTACACCTCTAATATTTAGAATTGAAAACCAAAAAGCAAGTGAATTTTATTATGCGCTCATCTAAATTAGTTATTTTTACATTGTTACAATGTCACGTGATTTTTAAATTCAACACTGGGCTAAATGTAAAAAAAATACTATTAATAAATAATGTGTAAATTAAAGAACTTATATTCAAATATGCAAAACAATTCAGTCAAAGTTTTATTTTTATTTATTTATTTATTTTTGTATTTTTTTTTTTTTATTTATTTATTTTTTACCATATATCACCCAGCCCTCAAATCTGCTTGAACAAACTGTGTATAGCAGCTGAATCTTTGGACTGATCTGTCCTGCTGTGTTTTGGACCGTCCAGTGATGATCACATTACGAAGACACACACTATACCTGAAGGGTCATCATGATTAACAGCAGTGAAGCTCAGTCTTGATATAAACTGACATCTCACTCTGTTTGTCTACGTGCCTCACAGATTTAAACACACACACATACACACACACACACACACACACACACGTTTACATGTGGACAACACAGCCTATCGCTAATCAGTGGAAATATTCTTGGGAATTGTGCTGAAGTTCATATTTAGGACAGACAATTTCATGACAGTTTCATGTTTTAAAGCGGTGAAGATGAGTTGATTTATTAGCAGAACGCTCTTATGTCAGCTTCTAAACAAACAAGCTTATCTTCTCATGTTATGTTAGCGTTAAATGGACATTTTTAAAGTTTCATTACCAATTCCAGTATCGTGACAACACTAGTATCGTATCATGAGGCCTTTGCCAATAAACAGCCCTAGTAAACTACAGTAGTAATGTGTCTTTACATTGAATTTTGTGCTGACACAGACCTGATTTGGGGCCACATTAAATCGGTTGTGTAAATATGACTTAAGCTTTGTAAAGTATTAGTCATGGATTAAACTATAGCCTCGCTGTTACGACACTCTCGTTTGAGTCCCTACATAAAAGAGCTCAGACAACAAAGGAATATATATGCAACTTATTTATTATATACAACTAATAGAACCACAAATCAAGAAACAAACACATGTCTAGGGAATAACAAAGAAAATAACTAACTTTAACTACACATATAAATAATGCCAAACAAAACCATAAGGTTGCAGAAATAAAGAGATGATCTTGACACGAGGACAGCCAAGTTGTCACAACGTCCTCCAGAAGCCAGCACATCACTCTTATTTATATGATCCAATTGGTGAGCAAGCATGGCACCTAATCAGGATCTGCCTCATCCAACTGGAATCTTGGGGTCGTCACACTCGCACACACCAAACATTCATTATAAATTTAAAGCACATTAATTGAATGCTTGAAATGCCTTGTAATTTGCATCTTGGCTGCTTATTAACTCCTGTCTATCTTTCTTTTGTCAACCCTCATTCTTTGTCCACATCTGTCCTCACTCGCCTGTCTTTCTATCCTCCATCCTCCCTCTATGCCTCTCTCTCCTTTCAGTTTTAACTCCTCCCACACAGATGCTTCCGGCCGACCTGATTGGTGGGAGTGATGTGTGAACTAGGTACTCATTTCTTTACTGTCCCCACCTGCACTCGAACACCTGCTCATTGCAAAGAAAAATCAATAAACCATCACAGATTTCTAGCATTGACTTGTTTGCTCAGTAAACTGTGTGTTAGACTTTGATTCTTAGAAAGCAGCAACTCTTTAATGCGGTTTCTACGTTAATAGTGAACTAATAGTCTACGTTTAATAGTCATAAGGTGAATGATACATCATGGAAAGGCTTTTTGATAAATTGTTGGTGTAACAATCAGTGTTATCGTTACAATTGTGAGGAAGAAATTAAATGTGACATTTTAGCAGTAATGAAATGAAAAGGACTTGATGATAAAGTGTTAATTTGTCAATGAATGAGGGAATCGTAAGCAATCCTTTCTTTTTTTCGGTTTAAGAGTATGTTTGATGTATGCAAGAAATTAAATATATATGCTAATACTATTAAATGTATATTTATTTAAAAATCATTAGTAGTATGGCATTACATGAAATTATTATCATGCAAACATATGTTTTATTTAAAAATATTGTATTCAATTTTTCTTGGATGTCTAATACTGTTGTTGTAATTATTGAATTACTATTATTAAATACTAAAATTTATGTATAAAACCTATCTATGTATGTTTTATGAGGAGCTAGATTTTTAGGTCAATTACTTTTAATAGTGGGTGTAGCCATATTATTTTTAATAATATATTGTGTACAGTATATGCTGTGTAACTGTTTTCAATACCATGATTTGGAAAAGTCAAGTTATTAAAACTGCCAACATTTTGTGGTATGTGTAAGATTTTTTTTATTTATGTTTTTGAATGATTGATCTGACATGATTACTGTTCCAAAGTATTTCAAATGTTTCTCAAAATAAAATATATTGTGTTCAAAGGGAAAAGGTTTAATTTTTATTTTTTACCCAGACATTAAAAACAATATATTTTACAGCAGTAATCACAATACTGTGATATTTTTATCCAAGCTTATCATGTCATCAGAATCTTATACCGACCCATGCCTATACTGTGTGTACATTAGGGGTTGAACGACTTAAAATGTTTGGAGGTCGACATTTATGTTATCAAAGTCCACATCGACTAGTCTTTTGTGATTTTATTAATAAACACGAGATGTAAATCTTTTGCAACATGCCACAATTTGCTGTTTATTTGCAGAAAATATGTACAATATGCTGTTTTACATCTCATATCACGTTGCAAAAACATACAACATTAAATTTAAAGTTCACTCAGATTTAAAGTTCACTTTAATATTTATTGCAGACAAAACAAAATAAACACTTAAAAAATTACTTTCAATAATGCGAGGGCAGTTTCATTCAGTGAATTTCTTTCGCGTGTAAAGCTGCCCATACAGTATATATGGGGTTGAACAGATGAGTTGACACCTCTGTACTTTTTGATTGACGTCAACTAGTTGCGTTTTTTTTTTTTTTTAACTGTATGTATGATTTATGGAAGAAATTAAATGTATATGCTAATTTTTTTAATATATATTTTAAAAAATAGAAGTATGACATAATATTTGCATTATAATGAATATATATATATATATATATATATATATATATATATATATATATATATATATATATATATATATATATATATATATATATATATATATATATATATACACACACACACACACACACACACACATTTTTTTAAGTTGTTTATTAAATTTCTATTTGGTGTCTAATACAAATGTTATTAATTAAAAAAAGTATTATTAATATTAACATTAATGATAATAATGTATAAAACATATTTATGTATGTTTTATGAGGAGCTGGACTTTTAGACCAGTGATATTTAACAGTGGTTGTGACCATTCTAGGGGGAAAATTGACAAAAAAATGTTAACTGAATGCATGATTTATGGAAGAAATTGAAAGTTTATGCTAATAATATTAAGTGTGTGTGTGTGTGTGTGTGTGTGTGTGTGTATATATCATTATATATCATTTATAAAATCTAGCTGTGTACATTTTATGAGGAGCTTGACTTTGAACCAGTGAGATTTAATAGTGGGTGTGGCCACATTATGGAAAAAAATATTACCTTATTGTGACCATTGTTAGTTGGCGCATGTGAAGCACGTGTAGCGGTATGTGTGTTTGTGGACTTGGATGGCTTCTAGATGTCCAGCACATGTGATTGTCCAGAGTTCAAGTTCTACTTAGGGATCATGAGCAGCCACTGGTGCTGCGCTGACATGACTAATCACTGTCATTAAAGGGGAAAGTGCTGGAGCAAGGCCATAAGAAAAGCAAACATGACTAGACGTTTACCAAAATCAACAACATCCGCTGATAAAGCAGGCTGACCTTCACTTCCCTCTCTCTCTCTCTCTCTCTCTCTCTCTCACTCACTTTCACTTCAAGTTTTCCATCTCACCCATCATCATTCCTGGCCTTCCTCTTCTTTCCGCTGTCCTTCAGTTTTATTTTATTTTTTTTACTTCATGAAAAAAGTTTTACCACCTCACTTTGCCCAATCATTTTTTTCATGTCTGTAAGTGTAGATGCTTTATCACACATTATTGTTATGTTTATTGTTATTGATAACATTATTGTTATCATTTACTCCTACCACACTAATGTTAGGTGTGGGATGTGACTTTATAAACCATTTTTGATCAATGGTTTTACATTTGTGTTTGTTTCAAGATTCCATTTCATCGCCTAATTTATTTGTCAGTTTTTTATTTTTTATTTTTTTTTTGGAATCTTTTAAAATGAGTTTGTTTTCAAACTTGTCATTAAGTGTTTATTAATATGTAATAAACAAAACCACATCAAACAGACTGAGACATTTTTAATGTGCTGACGAGTTCAGATGCAAACGTTTGTAAATCAGGATGTCTGCAGGGTCTTAAAGTATTAAGTTGATAAGTCATTCATGAGAAAATAAAGGCCCTTTAAAAGTTATTTTAAAGTCATAGTCGCGTTTTTACTAGGAATACATTTTGTTGAAGCATTGTCCAAAGTGTTTGACTCCAAAAAAAGCACACATATATTTATTTTCCTCCTAATATTAAGAATGACGTGCTTGATCCACAAAACTCCTCCATACGGGTGATGTCACGTAATTTGCGACAAACGTGGGAAACTGATGTGACGCTCTCCACATGCCAACCTTTTTTGACATCACACGGAAACAGCAACGCGTCTAGCATGACATCACTTTGTTGCAGAGACTCTATTGGTTAAATGACGGCATAATCAGAACACGGAAACAGCTTGAAGCGGAAAGTATGTCTGCAGTCTGACGGTTTTATATAGTTGATGATGACAACATTGTCACAGCAAACTGTGAGATATGTAAATATTTTAAGTTGAGGTTCTATTTGTTTCTATATTAGTTTTTTGTAATATGCCGTTGCACTACAGTCCAAAAGTGAAGAATTAATGTGTTTTTGTTACTTGATTGTTCAAGCTACCTCACAGAAGTGCTCTGTTAAGTGTGTTCAAAGTGTGTTTTAACATAATATAAAAAATGTTAAAATAGGGTGAAGTAAATAAAAAAGGAACGTCTTCGATCTGTTTCTTCTCTCTTCTTTATTCTTTTTTTTATGTATTATAAAAATATTCGATCAGGTATTGGTAGATACTCAATCAAATGACTTTGACTTGAGCAAAAAAACTTGATCGGCACATACCTAGTAAATATTATTATTATCATTATGAAATTAAGTTTTTTTTTTATTGTGGCAGAGACAAAATAAATTCGTTATAAACAACTAGTCATTAAGAATATAGTTTAAAAATGTGTATAAAATCTCTGTTAAACCACACATAGGACATATTTTAAAAAGAAATACAATTTCTCAGGAGGCCTAATAATTTTACAAACATGTAATATACTAAAACTTACTATATAGTTTTTGTTTTAATTGATTGATTTAGTGATTATAGGAAGTCATCATATGAGAATTGTAAATAGTTTTCTTAATAGCTTTGCTCTGTTGTTTCTTCTCAGATGAGCTGGCTGGTCAATCAGTGGAGCATGAGATTGTGCTGACGGGCCGTTCGGCAGTGTTTCTACCTGAGCGCGAGTGGAGGAGAGCAGCAGATCCACAGTCAGTGGAGGACGAGCTCAGCGGAGGAATGGGTGTTGGGAAAAACACCACTTCCAAATCCATGGACTCCACCACAGAGCCTGGCAAATACGAGGAGGAGAACAAACACAGTGCACACTTCTATCCCATCCCTGTGAGTTTGTGTGTCTGTGGAGAGATGCTAATAATAGGCTCAAAAACAATGCCTTCAAGTCTGTCATTATAGTGTGTGTGCGTCTCAGAAGCTTGAAGTCATGGTCGTGCGTAATTGCAAATTGCTACTTCAGATAAGTGACATTTAAAAACTGGTTTTCCGTAATCAGTTCTATTTTAAGTCTCTGAAAACAACCAGGAATGACAAACTGTTCCTTTATTGTCGTGGCATGCATAATATAGCATTTTTAAAGGGTCACGAAACACCAAAACACATTTTTTGAGCTGTTGACAGTCGTATATGTGTCCCACACTGTTAAAAACACTATTAGGACACATATATTTCACTAAAAAGTGTAAATTGGTTGTTTTTGCGTTATTTCAAGCAAATTCGTACTTCCTGTTTGAAACGAATTTTTGAAGCTGCGTCACGGTCATGACATAATAGCATGTATTCCAGCGTGCAGACTGGGCGTCTGTGCCAGAGTGTGTCTTATTACGTCTTACAGTGTGTTGCATTAATGCATGAGTAAGGCTTGGTTCAAACCAATCAGCGCGCTCTATTGTGCAACTTCATTAATATTCATTACTGTCACAGTGTAGACGGCAAAGACGCCACGTTGTGTTGGCAAAACAGGCGTGAAGTGTTGCTTTTATAGTTTGCTGCAGTTAAGTTTCGTTTTCATTTTCTCTCTGTGAGAACGCAGACTCGCGCGTAGATTACAGTGTACGCGACGCTCGACAACAATAACTTACGTGTCTAAGGAGGATTATTGTTTACCTGAGAGCTGTTCTCATCTGCAAATGCTGAGATCCGGATTCGCTTGTAGTCTCCTCTTAATAAAGACGCGGCTCTAGTTGCTGGTGATTGTCCTGTCTCTACAGATTTGGTAAGTAAGCGACCAGTGCTCTTTGTTTATTCAGTTCGTATTTTATTCGTATCAAACAAACTATTGCACCGAGTGTTGCTGGTGATTGTCCTGTCTCTACAGATTTGGTAAGTGAGCGATCAGTGCTCTTTGTTTATTCAGTTTGTATTTTATTCGTATCAAACAAACTATTGCACCGAGTGCAATAGTTAGCACTAACAGTTGCAACCAAACTATAACCTCGTGTTGGATTTTGTGACCGGAATAACACACACAGCTTTCTGATGCTACCTGCCGTGTGCATCTAAGTTTCCGGGAAATGCTGAGTTTTTTTCTCTGTCATTCGCCGTGCGGTATCAAACATTGTATGAAAAATACACGCTTAGAGCAGCTCCTCGAATCAAATATCACGTTTGTCGGGAGGGACATTAATGAATTCCCTGAATGAAACTGCAGTTAAAGTCCACCATTTAATAATTTGGCAAATAATTCGACTACAGATGTCCATGTAAACACAGTCACATTGTCCGCTGTGGGTGGGTGTGTGTTTTGACTCTGAAATTCAGCGCGCCCAAATAGATACTCCCATACCAAGCCTCTTTTCTTCCTCCGACACTCCCCCCTAAACAGAGCTGGACACGCCCACTTTTCTGACTTTTTCCAAAGTAGAGGTGTGAAAACACACTGCTGAAACGAGGGGGTTTCATGGCCCTTTAAATATCCAAACTAAAATCATAAATGCAGTGGTAACACTGGCATTCAGATGTTTTGAGTCAGTAACATTCAGGATTTTTTTTTTTTTTATAAATCAACAGTTTATTAACAGTATTGCAAAGGGTTTGATTTCTGATTTACATATTTTTTTACTTTTATATTCATCAAAAGAAAACCCAGAAAATAAATACATTTTAAAAGAAAGTTAGAAAAATAAGCTGAGCTTCTTTTCATAATTGTAATATGCAAATTTAATGCTATAAAGAGACATTTATTTATGCTGAAAAGGGCTCTTTATAGCAGTAAGTCATCATATTAAAATGAGTAAATATGTGATACGAAACTTGAGTATTTGCTTTTAAAGGCTGATTTATACTTCTGCGTCAAGCACACATGTATGGTCTCGCGTAGCCTTCGTGCGTTCCCATTGCCTGCATCGTCGTGGCTGAAAAAAATTTTTCCTACACGTTTGCATAGCGCAAGCTCTGTGATTGGTCAGCTTGGGAGCAGTGACGAGTGTGGGCGGTGATGAGAGCCGCAAGTCCGATGGAGCGAGTGTTTACATGTGGAGTCCCGTGATGAAGCTCGAGGGGTTTGTTCTCCCTTAAATGATCTAAGATAATTTGGCAGATCCTGGATCTTTTAATCTTGATAGCTGATGACTTGCTAATTTAGTTCTTTAAGTTTGCGAATCAGATTAAAATGTCTGGATGAACTGATCTGAGATCGCTGCGTGTGTTGTGAAGGACAGATCTATCAATCCACGAAATCATGATCAGCAATACAACGATTGGCTGATGGCACAGCAGCGTAATGACATCATCTGATTAATATTCAATTACGCATGTGAGCGTCATTACATAAAATTTGTAGTAAACTGTTAAATATGATACACAATAACTTTACACTTTGGTCGTGGGCTGCATGTTTTACACTTTCAAGTATCAAGAGTATTTAGCAGTTTATTCAGTTTTACGTTTAGAGCAGATTTTTTTTATTATTATAGTAGCCTAGCTCTATTTAACGTTCTTAATAAATGGTTGTTTAAATTAATTTTGCATCACAAAAGCATTTTGATATTGGTAAAGGCGTCTGCAACTTTTGCGAAGCATTAAATCACGGTCATATTAGCTATCAAAACATGTGCATGACTGCATAAAATATTATTCCTTTAAAAAAAACTGTGGAATTTTGTGTATGTCTATTATCATACACAAATTATACTAAAACTGGAACCTTAAAATAGTAGGCGTTTGTAACTAAAAAGTCTATATTAATAAATGTTCTTTTTAAACCTCTTTGGGGAACAGCCTCTGTACTTTTATTTCAAAGTGCAGATTGCATAAGTTTGATTTTATATAATTTTTCAAACTTCTATTTTCCCAATTGTATAAAACTACTACTGTAAGAAAATATTAGCATTCGGTACATACTTTCAATGTTACCTTTTCTTGAAATGGCCCTATCTAATACTGTTTATATGAAATGAGCCTGCTCCCGAGCAGGTTTGAGCTACCAGAACTGCTGCTAAAACTCTTAGAAGAATGAAACGATCCTGGATCATGTAAAATCGTCAATAATCAAATCCAGCTAATTGAGAAATCCACGTATTAAGAACGAAACTCAGATAGAAACGTTTTGTTTTGTTTATCTTATGATTAAATTTGTTGCACGTCCACCAGTTCCTGCCTCTAAATGAGCAAGTTTTAGCTACTTATTCATTCAGGTAGTGTTTAGAAACAACAAAACACTCACAAAGAAACTCAATACAGAGGAACATAAAAACCCACTGCCAAAAAAGTTTATTTATTTATTTATTTTTATTTTTTGTAAGTGTTGAGCAACACAAACAGTATAAATGCATGACTACGCACAAGGCAGGCAAATTGGGTCAAGGCAATCACTCGACGCAAAAGTATAAATCAGCCTTAAAACTTCTGCCTCATCCCAGGAATAAATTGCACTTAAAATGTATAAAAACAATAACATTTTATTAATAATAATTCGTTATATTACTACCTCATGTCTACTGTTTTGATCAAATAAATGCAGCTTTGAGAAAAAAAGTCTTAAAAACTACTGTTAGTGTGACTTAAACAAACATGAATTATGATACAGAATAACATTATCTAAGTTTACAAAAGTATTTATTATTAGCATAAGTACTTGCGCATTACCTAAGGTTAACATTTCTTATCAGGGGCTGACATTAACACTGGCCAACTCGCCAAATGCGGGTGGATTTCACCTATGGCGGGTTAAAGACCCACTCCCACTAGCCTGTTCGACTGAAGTCATTTTTAAGTTGTAGTTCATAAAGAAGCAGTACGACTGACAAAATAACTGTCCGCCCGAGCAAAAGAAAGCAGGTGAATACCGAATGAGAGGATGATCACACGCATGGCAAGATGCAGGCTATCTTTACTCATTGACTAGGGCTTTAATATTGCATGCACGGCTGGCATGTGATCCTTTCATTATCACACAATATTTTTCGCCTGATTTCTTTTGGTTGCAGTTATTTTTTTATTAAGGTTTAATTATATTCCTTTACAATAATATCAATTTAATAGATTTTTTTATGTTTTTTTTTTTTTAAAGAAAGGTTTTCTTTAATAAAAAGTGCATGTATACAGCTATATTAAGCTTGTTTCAATGTTTTTTGTTAGTAAAGTTTTGTAGCTGAGAAGTAACAAGTTATTCGTTTATTATTTTCGTGTGGCCAGAGAAAAAAATTGGTAAATTCATATGAGTCATTTGCTCATGCTCATTGAGCAAGCTCATACACAACACACCAAAATGTAGAATGAATAAGGCATGTGGAAACAACACAAAATCTAAATCAAGTCATTTTAGCATGTCAAAGTCAAATTTATGCACATAAAATATTAATTTCTCAACAACAGAATTGTGGATAGTAAAAATGGCATGGGGCTAGTAATGTTGGAAAACTACTAGCCACAGTGGCTGGTGATCAAAAGAGTTCATGTCAAGCCCTTTATCCTATTGTAAATATTTACAATTACTTTATTATACAGTATGTGATTATGTTATTTAAGAAAGCACATGGGTCAAAATATCACATTTGCAAGAAATGGTTTATTTTTAAAAAAAGAAAAGCAAACAAATAGCAGAAACAAACAGTTGCCTGTTAATAGTGTTTGTATTATAGAACATAGCATTGATATACACATAAAAATGCCTGTGAGTGCTATACGAGATTTTATTTATTTTATTTTTTGAATGCATTTCCACTAAAGTGCCCTTTTATCATATCAGTCTCTCCACTATGGTTTGCGCTCTGTAACTATATCTGTTCTCTTATTTAAGAAGCCATTGGTGCGAAGGCTCAAGTTTCCCATAGTCACGCAGATGCTTCCTTAAAAACATTTGCGTAAACACACTCTCATAGCATTATCGAGGATGATATAGTTCTTCTAAAGTGACAGGCTTTTTAAAGACTCCTTTCTGGATGTAATGATTGTTTGGGGATGTTTATGCAGACATGTGAATCTTGTCTAATATGTTGACACCAGAAACTCCACTAATGTTGAGCTAAACCTCAAGTAATCCTTGTTTTGGTTGAACTCTTCCCTACGTGAGTGTGCATAAGCCTACATTTGAATAGGCACCCTGCTAGATGGCCAATGTTGTGGGTAAAACGCCATGAGGTTGTAAGATCAAACCATGTGCCCGACACTGAAACCCTCCCATTTGACTTGGGCATGGAGAGCCAAAGCAAGTTTTCAGAATGTGTAGGGATATGGAAGAAGAACAGATTCCATTGACGCTCCTACAGTCATACATACAAAGTTTGTATTAGGATAAGAATGAGATGACATAATCATGGAGTCAGTATGAGGAAAATTGTAGTGGATTACTGTTTATTGGTTGGGATTGTAACTTATAATTAATGAAAAGCAGAGAAGGGGTAGGATAAAATGTGCAAAAGCTTCTTCCTAGTCCTTAGATTTCAGACATGTAGAAGTAAAAAGTTTGCTTTAATATTAATATTATTGTAGTACAGGGTTGTGGCTGGAAGGGCATCCGCTGTGCAAAACATAGGCTGGAATAGTTGGCAGTTCATTTTGCTGTAGCAAACTAAGGAAGCCAAAGGAAAATAATTAAATAAATGAAGAAATAAAGTTTAAAAGTTGGAAGGGCTCCAACCCTGATCAAACACACCTGAACCAGTTAATTAGGACCTGAAATGGCACTTGATAAATACAGACAGATGTGTTTGGTCCGGGCTGGAACTGAAATCTGCTGAAAGGTAGCTCTGCAGAAACATGGTTGGTGATTTCTAACCTACATATTGTTTGATTTCAAGATTTCCACATCCATTTTTTAGCATTGAAGCTTACAATAAAAAATGCAATGTCATTGCTTTGTATCTTGGCAAATATATGAGGTTTTTATATATCTTTGTGTTTGTCAGGTGGTTAACGGTGTCGTGCAGACCGCTGGAGATCAAGATGCTGAAGACACGCAGCTCATGGCTATTTATGCAAAAGACAGCCAGACGGAGGACAAGGTAAGGGTTTTTATATGTTAGTCGTGTAGAAATTACACATTTTACCACTTAAAGTCGTATTTGGTGCCCATTTTAGACAAGTTGGTATGATTCTTTAGGGTCCTTATGGAATTTCTGTTACATACTTGAGTTGAAATTCCTCAAAGGTCAAGTAAAACTACACCCCTCTTTGCTTGACAAAAACAGCTCTGTTCACAGTGACTCGATAATGAGCTACTGTTAAACACACCCTTCTTTTCGAGATATAAGATGTCCTTAGATATTTCTGGACTGTAAATACCTCTCCCAAATCCCTGCTCAAAGCTTTTTCAGAAAAAAAAAGTATTGCCTTTTGGGCTAAAGAATGTCACTACCATTATGTCGTTATACATAAGGGGTTCGAGACTGATTTGTCAGTAAAGCCAGTTCTGCAGTCAGCAGTAAATCTTCAGTATGTGCTTTCAGATGGAGCAGCATTTACTACACAAAGTTGTAGTTCACTGACAAGCGACACGCTATTGCGTTCATAATCTCAAGAGATTTTTTCGGTAAAAGCTAATCGTTCTGCGATAATGACAGGTGTTAGTGTAAGTTCACTGTGTTGCTGCTACATCTAAAAGCATGTGAAAATACCACGAATAATAGACTTTTACTACTAATCACACAACTGTGCTTCTCAGGTAAGATGTGCATGAAAATCGCAACTTTTGTTTAATCACAAATGCAATTTGTGAAGAAATAAAAGGAAATATTAACTTTTTATTATTTAATTTTTATCTTGACTCTACATCTAAAAACCCTTAAACACTCGTGCGTGGTTCTTCAAATGACGTGAGTTGCGAGAATAACGATCATGCACATCCATCAAGCTCAATTCTACAATTACACTGCAATAAATATTTGTTTATATATTATTGTCATAAGAAAAACAAATCGACAGTGGGAAAACCTTCTTAGGTACTCTCCAGATATTCGTCAGTGCAAAAAACATCAATGTATTAACAGCATTTTAGGGTGATGGAATAAAGACCCACTGCAAGTGCATATTTACCAAATAAGAGGTAAAATAGAGCACATCTAACAGAGGCTTTGGATATGTAACATTCGTTTCCTCTAAAGCTGGGATTTGGTGTAAAGACTCCTGAAATCCTTCACAGCTGACCTCAGAGCAGATTGTATGCCAGGACAGCTTCCCCTTAGGAAAGGAAGGAGTCTACAGGAGAGTCATTATGTGGGTCGGAGATGATCTTATTCAAATAGCCAACAAAATGACTGTGTGCTTTCATTTTTGAGCTGGCAGATAAGTCAGAAACCATTAAATATAAAAGTGGAAATTTCATTAGATGTCCCCTTTAAATAAAAAGGCTTCTCTTAGCAGTCATGCTTGACCACTCTGTGTTAAACCCTGTTCTGTAATGGCTCCGTCATTATGACTCTGCACTTTTCCCCCAGAGAGGAAACAGGGATTCAACATATGATTCAACATATTTCACTCTCTGCCTCTGTTTCTCTGTCTCATACTGTCAAGAATAAGAATTTTTGGATTTTTAATCCAGATTTGCCTTGTATCAAAACATATTGCCTATAAAAGAAAGAAAAGTGTTGCAAGTGACAGCTTGGTACAGTACCTTAGCATTTTGTTGATTAGTTAAACTGTTGAAACTAAATTTTAACAACTTGCATATGTAACAGAATAACACTAACTGTCCACCAACTGAGAAGACTTGAATGGAGTAGATTAAGCAGTTTTCATTAATTTCAAGATTTTTTTTTTATTTAGAGGCGCTGATTTCCTGTTGACATTGTTGGAATTGCCAGCAATTTTGTTTTGTGTGAGCATGTGTGTGTGCGTGAGTGAGTGATGCTGTTTATAGTGTACACCTCTCACTCAACTTCCCTGTAATAGAGATTGGTTGCTATAGGAACAGCTGATCCTGACTCTTGTGTCTTTTCTCTCCCCTTCAGTGCTCCATATCAGACACTGTGGACAGTGCAGACAGCATCGACGCCGGGAGGATAGACATGATATACACAATAGAGGACACACCACCTTGGTATTTGTGTGTGTTCCTGGGTTTACAGGTACAAACACACAGCCTGCTTGTTCCTAGACATTTCATATGTTCATATTTTTTCAGCAGTGGCCTATTCTTTGCAGTTGTCACATTCAACTTTACGGCTGTGAAATAGAATTTACAGCAGTCACAGTAATCTTTAAAGCAATGACCGTCAACTTTACATCTTTAAAACTAGACTTTACAGCAATGACCGTCAATTTTACAGCAGAGAAACTAGACTTTACAGCAATGACCCTCAACTTTACATCATTTAAACTACACTTTACAGTAATCACACTCAACTTTACATCATTGAATCTAGACTTTACTGCAATGACCTGCAATTTTACATCATTGAATCTAGATTTTACAGCAATGACCATAAACTTTACATAATTAAATCTAGACTTTACAGCAATGACCATCAACTTTACATCATTTAAACTACACTTTACAGTAATCACACTCAACTTTACATCATTGAATCTAGACTTTACTGCAATGACCATCAACTTTACATAATTGAATCTAGACTTTACAGCAATGACCATCAACTTTACTTAATTGAATCTAGACTTTACAGCAATGACCATCAACTTTACATAATTGAATCTAGACTTTACTGCAATGACCCGCAATTTTACATCATTGAATCTAGACTTTACAGCAATAACCATCAACTTTACATCATTGAATCTAGACTTTAAAGCAATGACCATCAACTTTACATCATTGAATCTAGACTTTACAGCAATGACCCGCAATTTTACATCATTGAATCTAGACTTTACAGCAATGACCATCAACTTTACATAATTGAATCTAGACTTTACAGAAATGACCATCAACTTTACATAATTGAATCTAGACTTTACTGCAGTGACCCGCAATTTTACATCATTGAATCTAGACTTTACAGCAATAACCATCAACTTTACATCATTGAATCTAGACTTTAAAGCAATGACCATCAACTTTACATAATTGAATCTAGACTTTACTGCAGTGACCCGCAATTTTACATCATTGAATCTAGACTTTACAGCAATAACCATCAACTTTACATCATTGAATCTAGACTTTAAAGCAATGACCATCAACTTTACATAATTGAATCTAGACTTTACTGCAGTGACCCGCAATTTTACATCATTGAATCTAGACTTTACAGCAATAACCATCAACTTTACATCATTGAATCTAGACTTTAAAGCAATGACTATCAACTTTACATCATTGAATCTAGACTTTACAGCAATGACAATCAACTTTACATCATTTAAACTACACTGTCAGTGAATCTAGACTTTACTGCAATGACCCGCAATTTTACATCATTGAATCTAGACTTTACAGCAATGACCATCAACTTTACATAATTGAATCTAGACTTTACAGAAATGACCATCAACTTTACATCATTGAATCTAGACTTTACAGCAATGACCATCAACTTTACATCATTAAATCTAGACTTTACAGCAGTGACCTGTAACTTTACAGCAGAGCAACTAGACTTTACGTTAATCACACTCAATTTTACAGCAGTGAAATTAGACTTTACTGCATTGACAGTCAAATTTACAGCAGTGAATCTAGACCTTACAGCAGTGGCCATCAACTTTACCGTGTTGAAGCTAGATTTAAGACAGTGGCCCTCAACTTTACAGCAATGACCCTACCTTTTATTGCGTTTACCCTAGACGTAATCGTATTTTGATGTTCCCTATGACAAAGATGACTAAAAAAGAGCAATTGTCATTTTTTTTTTCTCTTTCCCCATAATTTCTCCTCAGCACTATCTCACCTGCTTCAGTGGAACTATTGCTGTGCCCTTTTTACTGGCTGAAGCGATGTGTGTGGGATTTGACCAATGGGCAACCAGTCAGCTGATCGGCACCATTTTCTTTTGTGTAGGCATCACCACTCTGCTACAGACCACCTTTGGCTGCCGGTAAGTGTGTGCTTTTTTAAGAGAAGTCTGATGGTTCGAATGCGTGTTTCAGAAATATTGAATAAACAGTTTGCTTACTGTCAGTAGGCTTTACTCTTTGTTTATCTGTAACGTCTGTTTACATATCTGTTTGCTTGTTTTCAAAATCTGTTACATTAATTAAAACACTTGTTAATGTTCAGTAATTGGCCGATAGTAATTAAGTATTGTGTATTCATATAGTGCATTTATTGTGTATGGCCAAACACCCAAAGCACTTCAAACTTATGAGGAGGGTCTCTCCACACCACCACCAGTGTGCAGCATCCACTTGGATGATGCAACGGCAGCCACTGGACAACGGTGCCTGTGCGCTTACCACACACCAGCTATATGGGGAGGGGAGAGACAATGGATGGGGATGATTGGGAGGACTTGATGTAGGGAATTTGGCCCAGACACTCTGGTTATACCCTTATTCTTTACAAGAAATGTCATGGGATTTTTAATGAGCACAGAAAGTCAGGACCTCGGTTTATAATCTCATCCGAAAGACGGCGCTCACTAACAGTATAGAGTCCCCTTTACTTCATATGGATTGGAAACATATGTTGTGTTCATGTTTCCGGTATGGGAGGTTTTATACATTAGTTTCAGAACAATAGATTCAGGCTTCGTTTACAAGCGAACTTTAGTTAGGTACTTAAGTACTCTATCTACTTAACCTTTTGTTTACTTTAGGGAAATATAATAGAAAAGATGATGACATCTAGAACATTCTGTCCACAGTGAAGAATTTCATTTCCTCAGTGGAGTGTCTTTGTTGTTAAAATGATGCAGTGCTTTTGAGATTAAGGGAAACTATAAGTTGAAATCAAATGTTTGTTTACTGTGGATGAACATTAGCATGTTGTGTTGGGTGGGGTCGACAAGTCTGAACATCGTTACCTCACAAAAGGATCATTTATTTGAAAGCTGTAATTAAAATGAAAGGTGTGAGAAAGAGAGGAATAAGTTGGCATTAGTTTGTATTTTTTTTCTGTGTCTGTGTGGGCATGCACTTTCAGTTGTGTGGTGTTGTGATGGAATCTTAATCTTGACAGAGTACGGTTGGACGTTTATTACTGAATTATCTTTTTGATGTTTATGTACATTTCTATAGCATATGTATTTCCACTAATATGGTTTAGTTTTTTTTTCTCTTCCCTTTTTGCCACATTTTTTTTTATTTTAATGTTTTTGTTTATTATTTTTGTAGGGATGTAACGGTATTGTAAATACCGTCATACCGCAATATAATTTTTTTTCGATATTACCGTAGTCGCATGACTCGGTAAAACTATAGGTCTTCTGAGAAAATTTGCTCAGGCGAATGAATCGAACGGGAGGTAGCGAAAACTACAATTCCCATCAGCCCATGCTTGACCATCATCCCTTGCGGTCTGTTGTCGCTACAGATCCAGTAATGCGGAAATGGAGTGTGCTGCTAGAAGCGGGAATGAAAAAGAGCTGGAAAACTCTAAAGCGGGTGTTGTCGCCGCGCGCGTACTGAATAGCGGTGTTGTCGCGCGAGTTCTTATCAGCTGTGTTGTCGCGCGCATACTGAATAGCGGTGTTGTCGCGCGAGTTCTTATCAGCTGTGTTGTCGCGCGCGTACTGAATAGCGGTGTTGTCAGCACACTGTTCAGATTGATGCAGACATGAGACTCATGGTTTGTCCTCTCAAGTGGGGGAAAGACAATGCACAACGTTACCCACTGCTGTCAACCTGGGCCAAGTCATATCTCTCTTGTCCCAGAAACCTCAGTCCCAAATGAGAGGGTTTTTTCTGTTGCAGGGGACATTGTAAATACCCAGAGATACCAGCTTTTACCAGATTATAGTTATATGATAATTTTCCTTTAAACCCATCTCAATCTAAGTGAGTGAGTGATTAAATGTTGAATGTGATGAGTTTTCAACAATACTAAATTGAAACTTTATTTTTTTACATGGTTTAATATTTTTTTGTTATTAAAATTGAAGTTCCTGTTTCAAAGCTTACAGATAGATGGCTAATTTGTATGTCATTGACACTTTTGGCACTTTTTTGGAGTATTTTCATAAGTTTTGTTTTTTCCTGTAAATGATTCAATAAATACCGTACCTTGACATTCATACCGAGGTATTACCGTACCGTGAAATTCTGATACCGTTACATCCCTATATTTTTGTGCTATTTATCTTTGTTTCTTTCCATTTCCTTTTTTTCCCAGTTTTTTACATGAAGTTAAAGTAACCTGGTAACCTAGATTTGTTGTTGAAATGTTTCTCTTGGTTATTTCTGTGAACAGGAAGGGTGTTTATGATGCTTTTCCCTCCACTGGTTCTTATTCAGCACAGATCCAGCTATTAGATGAACTTGTATCCAAGGTGCTTTTAGCTTTATTTTATTCTACAATTTTTGAAGGCCACTTTTCTGATATGCACCATTAGCCTTGTGATTTCTTTCAAAACATTTGTCAGTTTTACAGACACTCAACCCTTTCAGACACGCATGGTTTACAGCATTTTATTAAGAAAGAGAAAAACAGAATTGAATGGTGTAAGAGAACATGACACAGCTTTCTTGTGGTGTTAAGAGCTGCTTTCTTAATTTCTTGATTTCTTGACAAAATCTCACCTCATTTGGTCGTGGAGCAGGAGGTCTGGAGAAAGAGGGCCAGTTTAGTTTAGCTGTGGTCATCTGTCCATCTTTGTGGTTTTGGCTCAGGTTGTTTCACCAATCAGTAATGAAGGCTTTCATCTCTCTCTCCCTCTCTTAATAGTGGAGCATTCAGCACACTTGTGCCATTCCTTTTGTCTTGTACATGAGGACAGGTCACTATGTGAGACTATTTGAGAGTTGAATTTGCCTAAGTGTTCCAAGTTAAACATGGTTGTACAAAGTGTCTACACTTGCACTTAATAACATGTGACACAACGCATTGCGGCTAAAACAGCAGCATAGACAATACTATAATAATAATAAACTAATAATAATAATAATAATTCCTTACATTTATATAGCGCTTTTCTAGGCACTCAAAGTGCTTTACACATTGAGGGGAATGTCTTTATGCACCACCAGTGTGCAGCATCCACCTGGATGACCAGACGACCGCCATATTGCGCCAGACCGCACACCACACACCTGCTGAATGGGGATGATTTAATATGGGGATGGTTAGGAGGCCATGTCAGTGGGCAAATTTGGCCAGGATGCCGGGGTTAAACCTCTACTCTTTTTCTAATTACATTCTGGGTTTTTTAACGTCCACAGAGAGTCAGGACCTCGGTTTAACATCTCATCTGAAAGACAGCCCTCACTGAGCAGTATAGAGTCGCCTTCACTATAATGGGGCATTACCCCCACACAGACCGCAGGTTCAGCACCCCCTGCTAGCCTCACTTACACTACTATGACAATCGCCATGTTTCTATCCAAAAATGCAGAATATTTCATAAAACATTTGCAAATAAAGCATTGTTTCCATCCAGTGAGTCAGAGAGAACAAAATCGTGACTTCTTCTGTGGACCTTTTTCTTATGTAATAAATTACTTGAGAATATGAAGATGAAACAATAATGCATAGTGGCTTTGGCACTCTTTGGGAGTGCAGCCACTCAAGACAGTTCGTGAAAGTAATTATACAGAACCACTTTGGCTAAGGGATTTTAGAATGACCAAAACAACAGTTATATGTTGAGCTATGTGGTTGGTTTGCTGGTTTGTCCATTTATACTTTCCCATGCAGCCCATTTTTGTTATCACGTGATCTGTTAAAACAATCACAAAACTCTTGTTGTGCATGTTGAATTTTATTCGGTAAATGTGTTTCCATCATAGTTTATTTACAGTTTTCCTTATACAATATAAATTTCATCCGACTCATTTGTGTTCATAAGTTTTTTTTATGCTCATTTTCAAAATTTATACAGATTTTAGCATCTCAATTAAAGCATGATATTTTTATGTGCAATTCCAAAACCGGCATAAAATATGTGGATAGAAATCGCTATTGATTAACCTCTGGTACTTATGTGCTTTTTTTATGCTAAAAATATCTAATGTGAATTTAAATCACCATTTTGCACAAGTGTTTATTGGCATACTAAAGGTGCTAGAAGATGGTTTACTTAAGATTTTGAAAATAAAATATGGGAAAATCACTTTTCCCTCTCTGTGTGCACCAGACATCTTTTTTTTTTTTTTATAAACCCTCCAAGTGTTCTTCACACAGGTGAGTGGCTTGACAAACCACCTGTTGGAGTTGGTCTTTGTTCTTTGTATTCACCAGACTCTTTCTTACACATACTGACAAGGACTCTGTAATAAATAAATAAAATAAAGTAAAATAAATTAATAAACAAAACAATCTTGTCATGCTATCTATGTATTGCTGCCCTCTGGTGATTTTAGGTACTTTTTTTATCCCTGCTTCTAAGTTGTTTTGGATAAAAGCATATGCTAAATGAATAAAGTTAAATGTAAAATAATTAGCAAACATCAACTCTATGCTTATTGCTGGACTGTTGTTGTGTCATGCCGGGTCAGGGACACCGTGTCAAGGTGTGTGATCCCAATTGGCAGAATTGTTTAATCTAAAAGGAACTCTGATGCAATTGTTCTGTAAGTGCAGTTCACTTGCCAAGTGAAATGAGACCTCTGAAAAGATTGTTAGTCAACTTCCAAAGAGAACACATCTTTTTTTATTTATTTATTGATTTTTTTTCTTTTTTTTTTTTAAATCTGAGGTAAATTATTCATTGATGTTCTCATAGTGGCTTAAGTTATGCAAAATTGTATTGCCACTAAAAACATTTTAATACTATGCAAAGCATAAAAGCAACCTGTTTTTCTGTTCATTATATGTCATGGAAACTTTTTAGTCAGTGAATGTCAGGATATTAAAAATTGGCTTCAAAATCTTGATGTTTTGCACAGTTGAATGTTTGCACTTTAATAAAGGCATTGGGAATCTGTCTTTTTGCATCATATC